AAAATCTGGATCTCCCAGGAAAGGAAAATCCCAGAATTCCATCCTCATTCTCCAGCTCCAAAATTCCCAGTGTGCAAAAAACCCCTGGAATTCAGTTAGAACACCTCAGCCTCAGTGGATTTTTATGGAATTTCTCCAGGATCGGGATTTCCAGCCCCTCTGGAAGCGCTGCTGCTTTAGGGAAGCAAAACCCTGGAAGTCACATCCCAGTGCAGGAAATTCTCCTCAAAAAGCAGGACAGATCCTAAAACCCATGGAGATGTCCCCCAGAAAAGGAGGACAGGCCCCTAATCCATGGAGATGCTCCTCAAAACCCCAGGGAAATGCTCCCCAAAAAGCAGGAGAGGCCCCAGTCCCATGGAGATGATTGGGATGGAAATCCCACATGGATGCGGCTGGAACAGTTTGGGAATGATGTGGGAATGGGACTGGGGTGGGAATCCCACATGGATGCAGCTGGAATGGCGTGGGAATTTAGGGAATTGTGGATTTTTATGAATCCCATCCCATCCCAGGGGGCTGGGGATTTCCAGGAGAAAACTCTCCCGAATTCCCAATTTCCCCCTCCAGGCAGGGCCTGCTGCAGGTTTTCCCAGCTCTGTCCCCTTGGGATCTCTTGGAATTCTCTTGGGAATCTCAGATTCCCTTGAGATGCCTCGGGGGGCACAGCCCAGGACAATCCCCTCTCCCCGCTGGCTCTGGATTCCAGGCGTTATTCCAGGAATTTCTCTGGATTGGACCAGTCCCAGTCCCTGTGCAGTCCTGGAATTCCTGGAGGATGGAAATGGAAATTCCCAGATTCCCTGGATTTTGGTGTCACCTGCAGATTCATGTTGGATTTCGGGAAAAGTTTTTCCTTCCAGAGGGTTCGGGGCTGATCTGGCTCCCCACAGAATGGGAACATTCCCAAGGCTTCCAGAGCCCCAGGAGTGTTTGGAAATGTGGAAATTTGGGATGTCTAAGCAGAGCTTAGAGCTGGATTTGATCCCTGGGGGTCAAATATTGGTTATTCCATGATCCTTTGGGATATTCCTTGATCCTTCGGGAACACCTCGTCCCATTCCCATCCCACTGCTGTTCCAGTGGGATTTGCGATCAGGGATAACAATCCTAGGGATGGCTCCGGCTCTGGGATTGGGATGGAGCTCCAGGAGGGGGGTGAGGGGGATCCAGCAGTGCCTGGGAATCCCTGACCCTTCCCAGCCCTTTTCCAGAGCTTTTCCAGAGCCCCAGCTCCCCCTGCAATTCCAGCGGAGCCCCCGGAGCCAGCTCAGCTTTTCTTCCGCTCCCCAGGCCCAGCTCTGCTGAGGTTTCCCGAGAGCAAATCCAGGGAAAACAGAGCGGAAGGGAAGGTGCTGAGGAAGCAGGACTGGGGAAAAGCTGGGAAGCAGAAATGACGGGAATGCTGAGGCGGCTCCGGATGCCTGGGGTGTGCCGGGAATTCTGCTGGAGCTGCGAAAATTGTCCCGGAATGAACTTCTCCTGCTCCCTGGATCTGGGGGTGGGAACAGGGAGAGCCCCCAGAGTTCCAGGGAATCCCAGAATTTCTGCAGTTTCAGCTGCAGAGCCCCTGCAACTCCAGGAGTTCCCAGAATTTCAGGAATCTCTGCTGCTGGAGAGTCCTTGCAATTCTCAGGATTCCCAGATTTTCAGAAGTCCCAGCTGCTGTCCCTGTTGGATCCAGGAGCTCTCCCTGTTCCCATCCATGGGTCCAGGGATTCCAGGGAAAATCCCACTCCCACAGGATCCATGGTGACCTCTGGTTGTTCATCCTTGGATACTTCCAGAAAGATCCGTGGGGGAAGGAGTGGAGTTTATTGGGATGCACCACGTGTGCTCCCAACCCTTTTCCTTGGAAATTGTGGCAGCTTTTCCAACATTTCCATGAAAATCCAGGACATCCCGATGAAAGGGAAGGACCAAACGTCCTGGATTTGCGATCAGGGAATGATCCAAACCTTTGGGATTTGGAAGAGAAAGAGCCAAACCTTTGGGATCTGGGAGCAGGGAATGAACCAAACCTTTGGGATCTGGGAGTAGGTAAAGGACCAAAACTTTGGGATTTGGGATCAGGGAATGAATGAAATCTTTGGGATTTGGGAGCAGGGAACTAATCAAACCTTTGGGATTTGGGAGCAGGTCACGATCTAAACCTTCAGGATTTGGGAGCAGGGAACGAAACATCCAGGTCTGAGCCTGAGTTTGCATTTGTCCTTTTCCATTTATTTTCTCTTTCCCTGATCCCAAAGTCATTCCCACACGCTCCTGGCCCGTGTGTCCTTGCCGGCAGGACAAGGCCGGGATGTCCCCGGTTGTTTTTAATCTCCCAAATGCTTCCCAAAATTAATCTTGGAGAGTGCAGGAGCGGGGGAGGGAGCGCCGCCCGCGCCCCGTCCTTGGCGCTCGTCCCTTGGGAACGCGGGATCGGCGGGCAGGAAGGGGTTACAGGGAAGGTGAAACACGAAACGGCGCCGGGAGAAAGGCGGGATCTGGGAAAGCTTTCCTGGGATGGAAAACAATCCAATGTCCTCTGGAAGGGCTCCAGGGCAGCGTTCCCTCCCACCGGGAGCTCTCCTCTGCAGCGGTCACAGAGAAAGGGCAAAAATCGGGATTTGGGATGGGGACGGGAGAGGTTCGCACATTCCAAGGGGCTGGAATGATCCAGCACTGGGAATTCAGGGTGGGAAAAGCAGAAATATGGGGGAACACAGAGCGAGAGGAGCAAGGAGTTAAATAATGATGGGAAAATAAGGAGGTTTTGGGATTCACAGAATTTCTGGTTTGCAACATCCCAAAAAAGAGACTCTGGGATGAGCGAGGTGGGTATTCCAACCCGGCAGCAGCGGGATGATCCCTCTGGAACGACCCTGGGGTGGGAGAAGGAGGCTGGAGTTGGACAAGGGATCAAACCTTCAGGATTCGGGAGCAGGGAACCAACCAAACCCTTGGGATTCAGGAGCATGGAATGTACCAAACCTCTGGGATTTGGGAGCAGGGAAAGAACCAGAGCTTTGAAATTTGGGAGAGAATGAACCAAATCTTCAGGATTTGGGAGTAGGGAGCAAAATCTCCAGGTGTGAGTGTGGGTTTGGATTTGTCCTTTTCCCTTTATTTTCCCCACCCTCATCCCAGTCCTTCCCCCCTTAACCCGGGGCCATTCCAGAGGGGTCATTCCGCTGCTGCCAGGAAGGAATTTCCGCCTCGCACATCCCAGAGTCTCTCTTTTGGGATGTTTCAGCTGGGAAATTCCGTAAATCCCAAAAAAATCCTCATACTCCAACATATTCCTGCATTTCCATGACAGGGAGGGGTCCCTCATCCACCCCCAGCCAGCAGAGGCAACCTGGGCGAGTTTGTTAATTAACGCAGCCCCGGGTTAATTAATTACCTTGGCCCCAGGCTCATTAATTAACGCAGCCTCCCAAGGTTCCCTGCCCTCGGTCCGGAGGCTCCAGGCAGTGCCAGGAATCCTTCCGGGAGGACTTTGGGAGAGAATGTTAACCCAGGCTCTCCTAAACTGCCCCAAGCAGCTGCAAAATTCCCAAAAAAACCTGGAATCCCCATTCCTGGAAGTGTCCCAGGCCAGGCTGGAGCAGCCTGGCGTAGCGGGAGGTGGAACTGGGGGGATTTGAGCTCCTTTCCCCCAGCCCCTCTGGAATTGTGGGATAAGCAGGGATTGCATGGAAAAACTGAGAAAAGGGGATGAGGGAGTGTCTGAGCTGGGAAAAACTGGGGAAAACTAGGAAAAGGGGATGAGAGAGCATCTGCTCCCAGAAAAACTGGGAAAAGGGAATGAGGGGGTGTCTGCTCCTGGAAAAGCTGGGAAAAGGGAAAGATAGAGCACTGCTCCTGGAAAAGCTGGGAAAAGGGAATGATGGAGCGCTGCTCCTGTGTAAGCTGGGAAAAGGGAATGATAGAGCACTGCTCCTGGAAAAGCTGGGAAAAGGGAAAGATAGAGCACTGCTCCTGGAAAAGCTGGGAAAAGGGAATGATGGAGCGCTGCTCCTGGAAAAGCTGGGAAAAGGGAATGATAGAGCACTGCTCCTGGAAAAGCTGGGAAAAGGGAAAGATAGAGCACTGCTCCTGGAAAAGCTGGGAAAAGGGAATGATGGAGCGCTGCTCCCGTGTTCGCCTCCCCGGAGCTGCCGGCCGTGCCTAATTAGCGATGTCGAACATGCAGCGCGCTCTTGCCTCCAATTAGGCTCGGCTTAAAACGAGGCGCGGGGTTCATTTCACCGAATGTTGGCTTTAATTTAGGCCCAGCTGTGCCTAAACCCCCGGCGCCGCTTTACACAGAGATTAAATACAGACAACTGCGCTCTGAGGAGGAGGTGAGGAATAACGAGATAAGAGATAACGAGGCCAGCCCCGAACTCTTCCCAGGGTGGGTGAGGTGTCCAAGTGATGCTGGCGGAGCTTCAGCGACCTCCACCCTAAACCACTCCCCATCCGCGTCCGGGTCAATGTTCCCCACCTGGAGCCTAAGTCAGGTCTGAATCAGGTCCTAAATCAGGTCTGATTCAGGTCCCGAAGGGTGCCCGGACAGCTGGAGCCCGCGGAGATCCGGGATTTGCTGCCACCCAAACAAACACGGCCCTGTTTAACCTCCCCTGAGCAAACGAGTCCGCCCAGCTCCTCCCGCTCTTCCTGGAGCCTCCTCTGGGCTGCGATTCCTGGCAGCGCCCGAGGGTTTGATCCCTTCCTCCATCCCGGGCAGTGGGAAGAGGCTGGATCCAAGGGTTCGATCCCTTCCTGCCTCTGGGGGTTTGGGAGGAGGTTGGATCCAAGTGTTTGATCCCTTCCTCCATCCTGGGCAGTGGGAAGAGGCTGGATCCAAGGGTTCGATCCCTTCCTGCCTCTGGGGGTTTGGGAAGAGGCCAGATCCAAGTGTTTGGTCCCTTCCTCCATCCTGGAGTTTGGGAGGAAGTCCATGGAGGTCTTGAATTGCACAGCTTAGGCTGGGGGCTCCTTCTCTGGCTGCCACGGCTCCTTGGGGACCCTCAGGGCTGCGGTGGCTCCGTGCCCCCCTCGGGCAGCACCAGGACCGCGGGCAGGAGGCTCCCGTGGGGGCCCGGGAAGGGCCGCAGCTCCTTGTTCCCGAAGCGTGGCGAGACGGGGTCGGCGAGGAAGCGGAGATGGAAACCGCGGCCGAGGCAGTGGACGAGGCCGCCCAGGGCGGCGCAGCGCAGCCCGGCCGGCTCGGGCAGGGGGTGGCTGCCACAGCGGTACCACAGCCTGGCGCTGGCGCTGCACCGCGACACGGCGACCTCGGCGCCGCCGGTGCCGCGCCGCAGCTGGAAGCGGTACAGGAACCCGTGGGCGCTCACCAGCTCGGCCGTCCTGTCCTTGTCGCCGACGGACGGGCTGGTGGCCCAGCTGTCCCCGCGGGCGTCATAACGCAGCAGCAGCGAGCGCAGGGTGCCCCCGGTGACGTAGATGTCCCCGTCGCATGCGGTGGCAGCGTGGGCCACGGCGAAGGTGTCCCTGGGCAGGGCGGCGGTGAAGGCCCAGCGGTCGCGCCGGGGGTCGTAGCGCTCCACGGTGGCCAAGCACTCGCCCCCGATGGCGTAGAGGTGGCCGTCCAGAGCCACCAGCTGGCAGCGTGGCCGCGCCTGGAGCAGGGGACAGACGTCGTGCCAGCTGTCGCCCAGGGGGTCGTAGCAGAGCACGCGGCGTGAGGGGCTCCGCGCATGGCCCATGCCCTCCCAGCCGGGCACCACGAACAGGTAATTGAACATGGAGCACACGGCACAGCCCCGCCCGGCCACCTCGGCCGGCAGCTGGCACAGCTGGCACCAGCGGTCCCCGTCCTCGTCGTAGTAGCAGAGGCGGCCGCGGCGGTGGCCGGGCTCGGCCGGGGGGACATCGGCCACCACCAGGCGCGGCCGCCCGCGGCTCCGGAGCGCCGGGAGCAGCTCCCGCTCGCCGGCGTTGAGGCGGCCGTAGATGGCCGGGGAGCGCAGCACCTGCAGGAGGTGGTTGCTCATCACCTGGAGCGCGGCGTCCTGCAGGGCCCGCAGCTGCCGCGCCTTGGCCACGCGCAGAACCTCGGAGCAGTTCCCCAGGTGCACCTGGCCGGGGGGTGACACCTGGGACAGCTCAGGACCTGCAGCTGGAACCCCACCGGGCAATGGGAGCAGGGGGGCGATCCCCAGGGTGCTGCCCTTCCAGCCGGGAGAAGATGGCTCTGGAGGGTTCTCCATGCCCTCCTGTGGAGCTGAGGAGCTGTTGGGATCAGGAATTTCCAAAGCTGGATTCTCCCCCTGGGTTCCGGAGCTCTGCGGCTCTGCCTGGTCCCGCTCCCTGCGGCGCTGGGATGTCCCCGCAGGGACGAAGGGCAGGGACGTCCGCCTGGACACCGACTCGGAGGTGGACTGCATGAAGTAGTCGTAGACTTTGCCCCGCAGGCCAGGCCTGGGCGGGCTATCCCAGTCCTTGTCCCGGCGCTCCGGGATGAAGTTCTCCTCCACCTGGATCTTGGCCACCGAGGAGAAGCAGTAGGAGGTGTCCGAGCCTGCCTCGCTCGCCGTCAGCAGCAGCCCCAGGCTGGAGGTGACGCTGAGGGTCCGGACTGTCCCTGTGCTGCCCTCCCTGCTCCTCCCTGCTCCAGCCGGATCCTGCTCCGTGCTCTGGGCGCATCCATCCCCCTCCGTCCGGGCATCGGGAATCCCTGGGGAACGCCCAGAGCTCGGGGCAACTTCTTCCCTCCCTGCGGGGCTGTTCCATGCTCTGGCCAGGGCCGCGGGGTCGTGAGAGCCCAGCTCGCTTCCCAGCGAGATTCCCGGCTCGCTTCCCACCTTGACTCCTGCCTTGCTTCCAAGATCGCTTCCCAGCAAAATTCCTGACTCACCTCCCAGAAAAATTTCTGCCTTGCTTCCCAGCTCACTTCCCCCCTCAATTCCTGTCTCACTTTCCAGCTTGCTTTCCAGGTTACTTCCCAGCTCGATTCCTGACTTAATTCCCAATTTATTTCCCAGTTTGTTTCCCAGCTCGTTTGTCTGCTCACTTCCTGACTCAATTCCTGGCTTCGTTATCAATTTGCTTCCTGGCTTTCTTCCTGGCTGACTTCCCAGCTTGCTTCCCGGCTCTTTTCCCAGCTCACTTCCCGTCCTGCTCCTGGGATCACTCCCCAGCTCAACCCCTGCTTCACTTACTGACTTAATTCCCAACTTCCATCCCCGTTTCCCTCCCAGCTCCCTTTCTATCCTGACCGGACCGAGTGGGGCTTTCCTGGGAATCAGCTCCGAACCCACCTCCTCTCCTTCCTCCTCCTCCTTCTCCTCCTCCTCTTCATTCCTTGGAAAGCTCTTCTCTCCCCAGAGAGCCGCGTGCCGCATCCCGGGGCCATTCCCAGATTTGTCCCCCCCATCCCTCCTCCTCCTCCTCAGAGCCCCATCCCCATCCCGGTTTTCCCGCTGCTCTCCCGGCGGGATTTTTCCCGGGGGAGGAGAGCGGTTCCTATAAAACCTGAAGGCCAGGGACAGGAGCAGCAGCGCGGCCGCCGACAGGAGCAGCTTCCCGGGCAGCTGCATGTCCGAGTGCCAGGCCGGGGGCACCCGCTGGGGCATTTTTCCATGCGGGAATGCCGAGGAGCCGATTAATGATTTGCCGGGAGAGGCCGGAGCGCGGCGGGCTGGGACAAGGTGACTTTGAGCAGGCAGAGCTGGCAGGAGGCTTCCGGAGGAGCCGCGAATGTTTGGGATGGGCTGGGCTCCAGGGAAAGGTGCAGCCCAGGGCCGGCTCTGTTGGCCTGGGAAACGGAGGGAGAGACTCGGGGAAGGGCACAAAGGCAGGAAAAACATCCCCGGGGAGCTGCTTCTCCTCTGCGGTGCTTTAAAAGGGGTCACGCAACGAAAAAAGGAGAAAAAAAGAAAAAAGTTGTTGTGCCCAGCAAAGGCTCCTCATCCCTCGGTGCTCCCGGAAAAGGGAGGGAGCAGCAGCCGGGAGCCCTTTGGGCTGATGCCGAGCAGCTGCTCCGCGGCACGGCCCGGTGACGAATTCAGCCGTTGATTCAGTGATTAATTAATTCAGTGATTAATTAATTCAGCGGCCCTGGTTTGCCGCGCGCTGCCTTAGGAGGACTGACGGGAAAGAGCCCCGGAGCTTGTGGGGTCTCTCGGAGGCCGCCCTGGAAGTGGCGGGGAAGGAGGAGCTGGTGGAAAAGGAGCTGGGGGCGTCGGGAAGGGAGAAAATCCGGGAGCTGGGCAGGAAACCGGGGCTGGAGATCAGCTGTGGGCACGAGGAGAGGAGTGAAGGAAGGAATAAATGCAAGGAGGAATTCGGGATGGGAAGAGATGGCAGTTGTCATTCCTGAGGGTTGCTGCAGGGATCAGAGTCACGGTGGGGAAACTGAGGCACGGCAGGGCTGCGTTCTCTCCCCGGGAAGGTGCTGGTGGTGGATCTGCTCCTGGCCTGAATTCCGAAGATTTCAGGGAATTCTTGTCCCCAAGAAACAAAAGTGGGACCACGGTGGAGGGGAAAGGCGGGAGTCTGGGGAATGGCATCGCTGCCACCGCCGCCAAGGGAGCGGAACTCAAAGGGATCGGACCCAGGGGAACATCCGAGAGGGGCGGAAAAGAACGAGGGAAGAAAGAGCCAAGCTGGGGGTGGGTGGAAGCTCCTGCTTTCACTCAGGGACTCGCTCCCTGCTGGCTCCATCCCAATCCAGTGGGATTTTCCTCAGGGATGAAGCCAGGGGATGTGGGGGGTGTGCGGGTGATGTGTCCCAGCCCGTGGGTGGCTGCGGTGCGAGGGGGCCTTGCCAGGGGTCTCCAGTGGGAGGTGGGAGCTCAGGAATTCATTCTCGGTGTCCTCAATTTCCCAGACCTCATCCCAATGGAGCAGCCGATCCCCACCAGCCTGTTCCCGAGATTTTGGGGTGGGGAGGAACCTCTGAACCCCCTCGGGGCAGATTCTCCACCATCCCTGGCATCCCTGAGTGCTGAGGTGTCCCCCTGCCCAGGCTGGGATGCTGAAATTCCCGGGAAGGCTGAAATTCCCGTGGTGGAGGGGATGGAGCTGGGTCCTCTGACCCTCCAGCTGGAGGATCCTGTCCTAAACACTGCAAATGTTTTCGTATCCCAGAAGAGGATGGAAAGGGAGCACAGGAATGACCCCCCGGGCTGGTTCGGCACTCAGGGATCCCTGTTTTTTTCCCTGCTGGGAACACGGATCCACCAATGGAGGATATTTAGGACATTTTATTTAGGATTAATTTAGGATATTTAGGGGAATGTTTGGGATGCTATCCCCCTCTTGTGGGGAAATGCAGCACAGAAGAGCTTGGGGGAATTAAGATATTTCACTTAAAAGCTGGGTTTTGGAGCACCGGTGGTGTCGTGCATCCAAAACAGCGCCAGCCAAACCCACCCAGCCTCTCTTCTCCATCCTGCTGGAGACAGAGCCCCAGAATCCATCCGTGAGGTGCTCGGTTTGGCCAAAACCTTGGGAAAAGGAGAATTTTTCCTGCCTGGAAGCCCGGGCAGTATCGAAGCTGAGGGAGGAGGGCCGCGTGTGGAGTCTGGGCACGCGTTCCAGGGCTCGGCTAATTGGGAAAGGGTCTGGCAGCCGCGACCTCCCGGGCCCTTCACCGCTCCTGCCGGGGCTTTCATCCCGCGGCTGGATCTACAAAGATCCCGGCGCTTGGGAGCCGGGGAGGAGGAGGATGAATTATTCATGCGCTCGGCAGCCCCGTGAACCCAGCCGGCAATGAGGGGGGAGGCGGGGGAGGCGCCGAGCGAAGCTCCCGCTGACTTTCCTGCAGGGCCGGAGCACCCCCGGTTCCCGCTATCCCAAAGAATGCACGGATTCCGCTGGATAAATCCCCATTTATCCCTGCCTGCGGTGTGAGGGGAGCGGGAGAAGCAGCGCTGACGTCTCGGCGCTTGTGACTCTAATTGAGCGTAATTACCTCTTCCAAACCTGCTAGAACCTTTTTCAAAGTCCCCTGGAATTCGGGAACGTCGATAACGCCGCTCCTTTGGGGTTTTCAGCTGCCGTCAGCCCCTCGCGAAGGCGCTGAGGTTTCGGTGGAGGTTTTTTTTCCGAGCTAATCAGATCTCCTCTGAAGGTTGTCAGGAGCGGATCTGTCAGCTCTCATCAATAATGGAACAACCTGAGCCGCTCCTTCCCCCTCCAGCCTCCTCCTGCATTATTCACTGCCGGCGCCTCGAACAACGGGATCGGGGATGGGGGGAAAGGGGGGCAAATTGGGGTCCTCTGCGATTTCCTGCAGGGAGGGGGCGGGAGGGGAAGGTGGGTCCAGCACAGCGTGGATGGTTCCTTCTGGTGGGACTGTGGATGGTGGGAAGGAATCCCTTTGTGTGGCTCGTTTTGGCAGGAAATCAGGAAAACAGGCAGCAGCTCTGCCCCAAAATGGGGAGAAACTCCCAAATCCCCTCACTCATCTGTCTGTGCTGGCACAAGGAAGGTCCCAGCCTTTGGCAGATCCATCCACGTCAGGAAATCCATCCCTCTTCCCAGGGATTCTTCCCAGAGCATCCCGAATCGGGGTGGGTTTGGGATGCAGGCCCACCCAGCCCGGCGTTCCTGCCCCAGCCGCTGGCTGGGGACATCCCAGCGCTCCCGGGGTGGCACCGAGCGGAGCCGGTGGTGGCCCCGCCGCTGGAATTGCTCCTCGTTTCCACGGGAATGCTCCTCATTTCCACGGTTCTGGGCTAAACCCGCCACATTTGCATTTAAACGGAGCTTCGGGCGGCTGGAAATGCTCGCTTTTCCGAGCGGGGAGGCCTAATGGCTGTTTAATCCTGGCGGTTGTTTAATTGGGGCGGGATGAGGTTCCTGGAGCGGCTCCGATCCATGAGGAAGGGCAGAAAGATCCATGGGAGAGGCTCTCCAGAGCGTGGAGGGAAACTGAGGCAGGGAGAATTCCTGAAGAAATTAAGATTTTCTTCTGAAAAAACGAAGATTTCTTCTTGTCCGTGGAGTGGAAGCACAGATCCGATGGGACTGGGATGCTTGGATGCCATTCCTTTGGGATGGAAGTGGAGCTGCTGATCCTCCCACACATCCCAGCCGGTCCCGATCCGACTGCTCCCAATCCAAAGGGTAGAACTCTGGGATTTTGCATGGGAAGGAGCTCTGGAGCTGCTGTGTGTTTGTTTGGCTCCTCTGAGGCTGAGAAAGAAGCAAGGCTGGCAACTGAGCAGGGAAGGGCTGGAATCTGCTTAATATTAATTAATTATCACGGTGATAATGATGCTTAGGCTCGTGCGGGGCTTTGGGAAGATGAGGCACTGCACGGCTGCCAAATAATCCTCCAGGATTACAAGTTCCCAGAGCAAAAGGCTTGGGAGTGCCCCATCCTCAGGATCCTTTCCCCACAGGGGATCCCGGCCCACAGCCGGGTGCTCCACAACGAGGAAAAGGCTGGAAAGCCTCCAGGACTGGGGCAAAGCCACCTGGATTTCGCCAGGAGCTGTCGTGCTGCGGGATTGACGCCATCCCGGGCTGGGACACCGCGGGAATGGCCGGATCCGGCCCGTTTCCATGGGGACAGCTGGCCACGAGGGGCCCGGCGCCGACGGGACACGCTGCCTGCTCAAGTGTGAGCGCTGACATTTGGGGTCGGGAGCCGCCTGTCACTTGTCATTCCTCAGCCAGCCCGGGACGAGTGGCATGCACAGGCCCTGGCTCCCAGCACAGCCGGAATCCCACCGGATAAACCCAGTGATCCACGACTTTGGGCTCCCGGTGCCGCCTCCGCGGCCTCGGGAGGGCTGGGGATGTGTGCCGGTCCTCGCCCCGGGGAGACGAGGCCTGGAGCATCTCGGGGTGGTGGGAATGCTGCACGTGGGTTTTTCCAGGGAAAATTTGGTCCTTGAATCCTCGAATTCTCCTGCTCCTCCTTCCAAGGACTTGTAAAGCCCCAAAGCTGGGAACCCCAAGGTGGTGCTGGGAACCCCAAGGTGGTGCTGGGAACCCCAAGATGATGTTGGGAACACAAACATGGAGCTGAGAGCACCAAGACAAAGCTGGGAACATTGACATGGAGCTGGGGACCCTGAGACAAAGCTGGGAACCCCAAAATGCAACTGGGAATCCCAAGACAGAGCTGGGAACCCCAGGAAAGAGCTGGGAGTCCCAAAATGGTGCTGGGAACCCTGAGACAGTGTTGGGAACTCCGAGACAGAGCTGAGAATCCCAAGATGGAGCTGGGAACCCCGAGATGGAGTTGGGAACCCCAAGACAGTGCTGGGAACCTTGAGATGGAGCTGGGAATCCCAGCACAGGTAAAACATGAATTACAACTTTCTCCCAGAAGAGGTTTTCCTTTTTCCCTTTAATTCAATCGTCTGAGGAAGCCAAGACACGGAAAGAGACCGAGACTGTCAAGAGTATAGAAAAAAAAAGAGCGGGAGACCCGATGGCTGAAGGCAGGAATGCCGGGAGGAGCTGGACAGAGGAGGTGGAGGAGGAGGAAGAAGAGGAGGTGAAGCTTCACGTGAGCTCCAGGATCACTGTCAGAGTGAGCGCCAAAACAAATCTGAAGCCACAGTGGCCGGGAAGTGAACCTGGAGAGGAGAAAAAAGGGATCAGGAGTTCATGG